TAAACGCTAAATTGTACATTCCCAAACAACAATCATATTATGTCAATTGCCACCGGAATTTCTAGTAATCTTTTTCTTTTTCTTTGCCTTAATCCCATCTACTTGGGGTCGGCCACCCTTATCCTAAGCTACCACTTGACACGATCTCCCACATCTTCTACCCTCACATCAGCTGTCCTCAAATCGCATTCAATAGCTTCCCTCCATCTCTTTTTTGGTTCTTTCTATCTCTTCTTCCTTCAACATTCATTTCTATAACTGTTCTTACAGCTTCCGATTCTTCTCTCCTCATAACATGACTAAACAATCTAAGTCTATTTTCTGTCATCTTATCCACGATTGACGCAACACCTATACTTCCTCTTATATACTCGTTCCTTATCCTATCTTCTCTAGTCACTACACTCATCCAACTAAGCATTCTCATCTCTGCTACACTTATTATCTGCTCTACTTTTTTATCAACCGCCCAACACTATGAACCATACATCATAGCTGGCCTCACAATTTCATACTAAATTTAAAAACTATAATTAGTACTTATTCATATATTAAGATACAACCGATAGAGTAGGTAATTGATTTGACGCTATAAGGTTTAAACCCAAATAAACGCTAAATTGTACATTCCCAAACAACAATTATATTAAACATTAACATTCATTTCTATAACTGTTTTTACAGCTTCTGATTCTTTTCTCCTCATAACATCACTAAATTATCTAAGTCTAATTTCTCTCATCTTATCCTCGATTGACGCTACACTTATACTCCCTCTTATATGCTCGTTCCTTATTCTATCTTTTCTAGTCACTTCACTCATCCAACTAAGCATTTTGATCTCTGCTACACTCATTCTCTGCTCTACTTTCTTATTAACGGCCCCACACTCTGAACCATACATCATAGCTGGTATCACTACAATTTTGTAGAATTTACTTTTTAGCCCCATTGGAATTCTTTTATCGCATAAGACACCAGACGCTTCTCTTTACTTCAACCACACGCACTTAATCCTGTGTCTTACATTCTTGTCAATACCACCGCTCTTTTGCACTACTGATCCTAAATACTTAAAACTTTCTACCTCCCCATTCATATTCTCGTCTATTGCCACTGATCTCCTCATTTCACCTACCTCATGTTCTCTTTGTCAAATCAGCCAGAATTTCTGGTAATGATAAAATTAATTGTCATAAAGTGTCCAAAATTGGTTTTGTTCTAGTAAACTCAATGGTGGATAATAACTTTCATGATATAAATGTTAAAAGATCAAATAAAGTTATAACTGTATCTTCAATAACTTCTATTGTTAAAATTAATAATGAAATAATTTAAGTAAACCCATTGGTACTATTTCAACTAATCGCTATTTAAAAAAAAAACCAGAAGTGTCCCGGCACAATGTGTATAATTGGGTGCAGTATAGATGATTTGTGATAGTGATTAAAATCATTATCAAAAAACAACACCTTGATGCAAATCTGTAGATAGTGTTTAATTTTTAAATTTTAATGGATTAATACAAAAACTACATGATCTTCTATTTTCTTATTTATACCCTAAATACAAGTTATATGCATAACTAGTGCAAAGTATGTAATCGATGGAGGATTTCTCCACTATAAAGTTATATGACAAATGTATCAAACAAAATTTTATTCCATTTTCTTAATCATTTTCCCATTCTAAATTTTGATAGAATATATCTTCAACAAAAGTACAATTTTCTTAATCTTCAATCTTTATTTCTATTGACTTTGTACGCCATTGACCTTTGCAATGTTCACGTATAATAGAACATTTAAGACCTGTTTTTCGGCAGCCATAATTTTTACCAGTTCCAGCACCTGACTAAAGGCCGTTTTATGACAATTATCATTATTATTAGCATAATTCCGGTGGTAATTGACATAATATAATTGTTGTTTGGGAATGTACAATTTAGCGTTTATTTGGGTTTAAACCTTATAGCGTCAAATCAATTACCTACTCTATCGGTTGTATCTTAATAAACACTACACTTTAATGATACTATAAATAAATAAACTCACACATACATACATATGCATTTATAACATTGTGTCTAATGTAAGTATAACATGATAAAAAGTAACCGTAAAATGAAAAAAATTGGAAAATAAATTTTAGTACTCATATTAAATGTAATGTAACTCGAAAAATATTTGTTTAAATGAATAAATATAAGATACCTTTTTTGTTTAAAATTGTCTTTTAAACAACTTTTATACGAAACTTTTTTTTTTAAGTTAAATATTCTTTGAGAAAATTAAAAAAGCTCATATTTTTGAACTTTTGCGAGGCTCTAAAAAAAAAAGCTCAAGTCCAATCGATGAGGACTTTTAGTATGTCCTTAAACATATCTTATTTCAACTTAAAAAAAAAAAAAAATTTAGTTGGGAATTTTTTCCGCCATTTTTCCTTTGTTGACTAGCCTCGTAAGGAATTGATGCGATTTAAAATACTTTTAACTAATAATGCTTCTCGAACTATTTTTTAAACAGAATGCGCCGAATACATTTAATTTATACATTTTTATTGTGGCAATATTTTACATTCTTGGCATCGTTTCTCGGGAAATATTCCTATCGGCTCATCACTAAATCTGATGTATCAAAATTTATATTAAATTAAAACTTTATTAATGAACATTATGATTAAAAAAAAGAAAAATTTTCAATAATTATTCAACTATTTAAAATTTACCGCCAGAGTAAAAACAATTTTTTTCTTATCAATTTTTTACCCAACTTAAAATATTGTTATGTATTAGTAAAATTGATCAAACGTAAGCTAAAATTTGTAAAAATTAACATAAAAAAGCAAAGTATACTATTATTAAATTATAAAAAGATAACTTACATTACTAATCGAAGATAACCACAAAATACAAATTTGTTCTTTTTATATATAATATATAGACGATCTTTTATTTATAGAGTTTTCAATAAGCAAAGTAAATTGTTTCTATAGATTCTATTCTAACAAATTGTTACTGAAAATTGATATGTTTTCTTCTTTTTGAACACCTTGCATATTTGTGGCATTTTAATTAGTATAATTCAATTAATATTAACTAAATTTAACAGGATATCAAGCTGTGTTTTGTGGTTTATTAAACGCATTTGTCCACATGGTAATGTACAGCTACTATTTCTTATCATCTCTTGGACCTCAAATGCAAAAGTACTTATGGTGGAAAATATATATAACTCGTTTACAAATAGTGAGTATAAAATCAATAATATATTTTGACAGATTTTTATTAATCTTTTGTTTTGTTTTACAGGCTCAATTCCTAATCGGCTTAACCTACGGCTTACATTTATATTTATTTGATTGCAATTTTCCTCGAATATTTGCTATTTATATGACAGCAGATGTGTTATTATTCTTGTATTTATTTTTGATATTTTACAATAAAACGTACTGTAAAAATGTTAAGGCTGATTAAAAATTATGCTCAAATATAGATTAAAATTAAATAGAGTAATGATGTACTACACGATTTGTGTATTTAATAATTTGATGAATAAATATCACGTTCAAATATTATCATACTGCTATATTATTTAAAAAATTAAAATTCGAATAAAAGAACTTTTAAATTTCTTCTCTGCAGTTTTTTTTAAATACTCAGAATAAAAAATTCAAACATTTAATTATTGTTTGTATTTATGTGCATTTTTTTAACCTATGTAAATTATATAGAATGTTCAGTAAGTAAAGAAAGTGGTTTCTATTGTTCTCATTGTGTATAACAATTTACCTGTTACCTTACTTACTGAACACTGTGTATAATTTCCTAAAGTATGATCATTAAAAAAATAAAATACTTAATACAACATAAAAAATATTGTTAATTATTTATTTTCTAAAGTAAAATATAATTACGAATTTTAATAATTCAACAATTATTGAAATGATATAATCTAACAAATTTTTTTTTTAATAAATTTTTTAACATATTATATTATAATATAATAATTTTTTTTTAATTGCATTGTTTTAACTTTAACATAATATATCGAATATATTATATCAATATCAAAATCATACAATACACGTGTTAGTTCATTGTACTACTTTTTTAAGTTAAATTTTTTATATGGGAATAGATAAAGGAATACATTTATTAATTCAACATTAAAATATTTATATTAGAAAAAATATTATATAATATTTTAGAAAAAACGTTAACGCAGTTTCACGTTTCTTCTGCTAAACGTAACTTACTAAAACAAATGTTAATTAATATTACACTGTTGTCCAAGGGTAAAAATGAGAATTTTAGCTTCGATGC